ACAGATATACAGAGTGCCCTGGAGTGTGGAGAAACAGTGCTCTGCGCCTTCCTTGATATAGAGGGGGCTTTCGACAACACATCACACGTGGGCTTCGATAGAGCACTTGAGAAACGCAATGTGCAGCCAACCATCCGCAAATGGATAGCCAGGCTACTACATACCAGGATTGCTGAAACTGAAGTAGGTGACAGCGTAGTACAACTTAGAACAAAAGGTTGCCCGCAGGGAGGGGTACTATCTCCTCTCCTGTGGAGTTTAGTGGTGGACGAACTCCTGCAGAGACTCACTGACAATGGCATCCGCTGCCAAGGGTACGCGGATGACATAGTGATCATTGCTAGGGGGGAAGTTCGCGAGTACCCTCTGCGACATAGTGCAAAGAGGTCTTAATCTGGAAAGGAGGTGGTGTGTTGAGGTGGGACTTAATATTAACGCTTCTAAGACAACCATTATTCCATTTACCAGGAAAAGAGCCCTAGAGGGGATGAGGAACCTAGCCATGGATGGGGTCGCGGTCAATGTCGTCACAGAGGTTAAGTATCTTTGTGTGATCCTGGACTCGAAACTTCTGTGGAGGACTCATGTGGAGGCGGTCACTTCCAAGGCTACGAGAGCGCTGATGGTGTGCAAAGGTCTAGCAGGGAAGACCTGGGGGTGCACCCCAAGGATCCTAAGATGGATGTACACCATGATTGTACGACCAACAGTAACTTATGGAGCGGTGGCTTGGGTATCCAGGACTACTCTGGCAACGGCAAGACAGTCTCTTGCCAAGATTCACCGTCTGGCCTGTGTTTGCATCACGGGAGCTATGCGCACATGTCCGACGGCAGCGCTGGAAGTAGTCCTTGAACTGGAGCCACTGCATATTACGATTGAACAGGTGGCAAAACGTACGCTCTTAAACTTTGCGAGAGGGTTTTGGAAAAGGTAAAGTGCTATCATCCAGGAACAGGGAAAAGCTAGGCTCCCAGCTGCCATTAGTGCTGTTTCTTAGGGATGATATGCACAGAGTAGTGGTCTTTGAAAGAAACTTCAAAGTCGATCTATATAGAAAGGCACGCCTATCTTGGAGGTACACGTCCAGGCGAGCACTTTACAGTGGTACACGGACAGCTCGAAAACCCCTGAGGGTATTGGAGCAGGAGTATATGGCTCTAGGCTGAAACTCTCAGTCCCTTTGGGGACTTTCCCCAGCATCTTCCAAGCGGATGTCTGTGCAATCAGTCTTTGCGCAGAGATTAACCTTCGCAGGAATTATCGAAGGGAGAGGATACTTATACTAAGCGATAGTCAGGCGGCACTCATAGCTCTCTCATCCTTCGAGGTCAAATCCTCTTTAGTCTTGGAGTGCATCGAGAAGCTTAATGCCCTTGCTGTGCACAACACCGTCCGGCTAATATGGGTGTCGAGGGTAACGAAATAGCCGATCAGTCGGCCAGGCCGACAGGCCCTCAACGGCATTCACAGGGAATCAGTCTCAAGTTATGTAGACTCCCGCGCTGTGAATGCCGTTCTAGGCACACAACCACCGGACGTGGACGGGACAGAACTTTGTCTGCCTCGGGAGACCCGCACAACAATAGCCCAACATCGCTCTGGCTTTTGCAGCAGGCTCAACATCTACCTGAGTAGAATCCACGAGGATGTGCCCAACCAATGCCCGGCATGTGGAGAGTCGCCACATGACTCCCTCTTCACATACCCTGAGAATCCCACTCAGCTAACGCCCCTGTCCCTATGGACAGCCCCTGTGGAAGTCGCACACTTCCTGGGTCTCCCCTTAGCTGAAATAGACGACAACGATGATGGATGAACCGTCCCGAACGGGGCTTAGTAGCCGCTACAACAACAACAACAACAACAACAACGCCGGTAGGACCTGAGCCCTTCCTTGCGGTGGGTCCCAGCACGATAAAAGAGGCACTCAGAAAGGAAAACAACAAACTGAGGGAACAGCATTGGCGAACTATCTAGGGACTTCGTCAAGCCAAGAGCCTATTAGGGGGGTATAACCCAAAGAGATACAGGCTACTTATAAACCTCCCCAAGGCGAGGCTAAGAATCATAACAGGTATTTTGACGGTCATTGCAGGCTCAGAGGCCACTTGTTTAATCTGGGGATCTGGTCAAGCGACTTATGTCGCTTCTGTGACTCCGCCAAAGAGACACCAATGCACCTTCTCCTGGAGTGTGAGGCCGTTTCGCGAAGAAGGGAGAGGTGCCTAGGACACATATGGCCAAGTGAAGATCACATACACTCCCTGCCCCCGGGATCCATTCTGAAATTCTTGGAGTCCCTGGGTCTGGATTCAGTGTTGTGATTAGCTCGGGGCACAATAGACCTATTGGTCGCAGTGCTTACCCTACTATTATTCTATTCTATTCTATTCTATGTTCATATAGGCAAATGCTCCGCGAACACCATGATACAAATTCGTTCCACTAAATTTACCGCTTTAGATCACCATTTACTGTTATAAATTCGACGTTCTGGTTCTTAACATCCCTTTTCCTTTTTTCATAATTCCATGTGAAAAGAGTCGTGTTTTTATTTTTCATACATAGCTGGATTTATCATACGGAAATTAAAAATTACTGAATATGAAGAGAAAATCTCCCACTCATATACATGGACCAAATTTCAAATGGTGGTATGATAAAACCTAAACCAGAAATCCTTGTCATAAAGAAACTGGAAGTAAATTTTTACAAATTTAATGGAAAAGAAATTTCGAATTGCAAAAATTAATAGCTGAACTATTGAAGTTAAGTTCCGATGTAAATTTAGAAGAAAAAAAAAAATTTTTTTTTAAATGACGAATATACTCTAGAATTAAGTATTTGAATAAAAAATAAATGCTCAAAAGCATTGGGCTAATAAAAACAAGAAAATTGCCAAAACGGTTTTATAAATAAATATGTAATTTTGAGTAAGTAGATATGCATTTCCACATTTAGGCACTCCGCACATTACGCGCCTAATCATAGTAGAGTAATCATTTTGTCATGTCAAAACGAATGCATGATGACTCGACTTCTGCACACTTGGGCGCCCTGCGTAAGCCCTGCTTGCGCGAACATTGTACATTTTCTCGCCGGTCTTTCTCACTAATACACTTTCGCGAACATTTCTGCAATAAAATATTGCATACACGTTTATGGCTCAATACAATTGGCACGAGTTTTAGCACAAAAGCAGTAAGTTTCACTTATTTTTTACTGAAATGACAAATAATTTTTATTTCGAGCACAAAAAAGTAAACAAATACCGATATCAAAACGGCAAGCGCCTTAAGGGCCATTCACATACAACTTTCCTCGCTTTGCTTGACAGTTCAAACTTTGACAACAAAGCGTGAAACGCAGAAGGTATGCTACAATAAACGCTTTGACAGCTTTTGCGTTCTCCTTTTCCTCCATATATTTTATCTGTAAAATAGATAACAATATAAGAATATGCATTAATAATAGCAATAAAAATTCCTATTTACTCTATTTTTGCCATTAAATGCAAATGCATGCGCACGAGAAAAGATACATGTAGACAGCTGATTGCCAAAGCGGGCAAAAGTTGAGAGTTGCCCAAGATTTTGCTTCGTTTTGCTTTGCTTTGCTTCAAACGTTTTTTATGTGAGCATACTCATGCATATGCCTACATCGATCTTATATGTCAAAGCAAAGAACTATCAAGCAAAGCGAAGAAAGTTGTATGTGAATCAGCCATTACAATGTTGGGCGCTTCGATTCATGAAGTTTTTATGATTAGGCGAAAACATGATTATGAATCGTAATATACAGAGCTTCATTGAAATACATGTGTTCGGTATAAAAGCTTCATACTTTAGTACGCCGGAACGATTACACTACTATGACTAGGCGTTTAATGTGCGGAGTGCTTTACATTAAACGAAAATACAAAAACTAAAATGAAGCCGAATTTAATGTGATTTTAAATATTTTCATATTTACAAAAACTTTCATTTCATAGCTATTGAATTTTATCAAACATGGTACATGCATAACAAAGGGTTAATTTCTTTGTTTACGTTCTTTGACATTTCAGTCAGGTATGAGAGAGCTCGACTGAATTGTCACTTCTACCTTGTTGAATATGCCTTGGGCTAGACCAAGGTACATTGAACTGGTAGTATCAGTAGAGCAGCTGATTTGATTTATTTTCAATTTTTTTGGTCTCGAAAATGTATTCACATGACACGCTTTGATTTAGAAGAAAAAATTCAGAACAGTTTTTGACACTTTCGATACCAGAAGCAACAACAAAATACACGCAAATGTTGTTTTTGCTCTACTGATAGTACCTGTTTAATGTGCCTTGGGCTAGACTCATTTCTGACTTGTAGTTTCTTTTACATTTTCTCTTAGAATTATCTAGAGAAACCGAAAATACCATGCGATTCATCGAAAAACTGTCGCCTGAACAATTTGAGCACCTTAATGTACATATTTTAAAAGTTCTAATTTTTTTTTACTACGAAATGTCTAAAATTTTTTCTTCCCAAAAACCGGGCCATTTTGCGTCCCGGCATGTGTTGTACCGGGACCGGGACATAGCTCTAAAATCCGGGACAGTCCCGCCGAAAACGGGACGGTTGGCAACCGTGGCTTGGCTTTGGAGCAATAGTAGAAAAGCTGTTGGCATTGTTTAACCGCCAAAACATGTGATGAATCAATTACGGCGGTTTTGAGAGTAACAGCCATTCGCAGGAGGCGTGAAATTGTTGCTCCCTCCGTTTGTGTACCAATAAGCAGACGCACACCACAATTTGGAGGAGAAGCTCGTCCAAACACTTAAGGCGATTTCGTTGCTACCGAAAAATGCAACCTTCTCCTTGCATGGCCGCAGAGAAGGCAGCATTTTTTGTATAAATGAAAACGCCATTAGTAAAATGGTAACCGCCAAAATATTAATGTACATACATACATATGCAGACTTTGGGATGTAGATGACTGTACCTGGTGTCTAAAATACAAACCGTTGATGGTGCTTTGCGGACCTTGTGGATGCCGCCATGAAACTCCTTTGACTTTGTACCACCATGGTGCGCTCGCAACACGAAAGTCTTCGTACATCTTTTGCATATCTGATGTTAGAAGAGACTTAAATAAGAAGCTATCCCCGAATCTCTCTGCTTCAGTAGTATAATTCGTAGACTTAACAAAGTCCATAAATTTGGTATTAGATACTTCGTATTTGTCAATATAGAAATCTGATATAATAACAACACGCTCCGGCGACTCGCCATCGCTAACGAAATGTGGTTCATCAGTCCCGATAAGAAAACTTCCGCCCGGTATGACGGACATTAAGGGATCTTCTGGGTAATAATTACGGCAGTGATTGTTGTCCTTTTCGATTTGATGGCAAACCGGAAATTGTTTGGTTTCTATGGCTGAATTGCTTGATTTGTCCGACTCTCGATCCACGCCTTTGTTGCAAGCACAGTCCGCTCGTACACGGTTTACATAGCAAAGAAGGCAAAACAACACGAAAGTAACTCGAAGCATAACTATGCCCGCTTTATTGGAATGAAAAAGTATAAATATACACACCAATAAATGTATAAATTGTAAATATAGGTATGAAACCATATGAGTAAATACAAGTACATACTCGATACTTTTCGATAGATACCAAGTAATATTGGTATCAATACTTTTGAACTTATACCCCTATTCAGCAACACTTTCGGATTTATAGCCCTTATTGCGTGCAATGACAAAACTCGCCGTTATAACTATTGTCATGTTTATAATCAATTGGCGAAAATTTTCCAATGCGGAACCCGGCTCTAAAAAAAAAAATGAGGGGGTTTAGAGCGGCTTTTTGTGATTGTAAATCTGAGAACCCCACTCTCCGGAGGCTTATAGTTTTTATGAAAATTGAAAATTAAATTGTTGAAAAATGTCAACTTCAACCTCACTTATGGCTTTGTAAGCCAATTGTACTTCAATGCCTGTGCTGCCACACAACAAAAAATGCCCAAAAAAAACACTGAAAACGAGAAACAATCTAAAACGGCCATTGTAATTAATTTTTTTTTTATTAAATATCGATGTATTGATAAAACAAGGGATTCAGTCTAAAATCGAGAGCTTTTGTAATAAAAATGTTAACTTGGTTATTTATCGAAGTATTGATTTTTATGGGAAAAGCGGCGCAGGCGAAAATTTTTAATAAAACATCGCGCGATTTTTTATTAACAATTTTCATTATTTATCGAAGTATTGATTTTTATGAAAAAACCGCCGCAGGCGAAAAATTTTAATAAAAAATCGCGCGATCTTTTATTAAAAATTTTCATTATTTATCGAAGAACTGATTTTTATGGGATAAGCGCCGTAGGCGAAAATTTTGAATAAAAATTTATCGATGTATTGATTTTTATGGAAAAAGCGCCGCGCGTGATTTTTTATTAAAAATTGTCATTATTTATCAAATTATCGATGTACGTTTTCTACATTTGTGTACTTTGAACTATAATAACACCAGTAAATGTTATTTCCCCCCGAAAAAAATTATACCATTATGATCAGGAGTAAGACCCCTATCGATCCTAATATTATTATTTTTTAATAAGAGCAATGTACGTATTGTACACTTATACCCCTAATTATACGCACTTATATGTGGTGTATTTTTTTTAACGTATGGTAGCAATCATTTTGTGTTACTGTCAGCCATTGTTATTTCTGCTTGTTTTGTGAAATGTGCAAACGTTTGTGAAGACATTTCTAAACGCGTTTTACTTAATTAATTAATTAACAATTGTATATTAAGGTATTACAAACGCATGTGAACCTTTTAAGTATAATATAGTTGCGTTCCAGATGCTTCACGATTTGCAGGTTTTTACAGGAAGTCGTTCCAGGTGACCACCTCCCATAAGGTTTATTAATGGGGAAAACAGCTGTTCCTGCAAATCGTGAATATCGTGAAGCATCTGGAATGCAACTTATATTTGTGTAAATAAAAGTGATAGGTGTGGAGTTATAATAAAATGTGGTGATAGCAGGTGGGATATTTAAACAACTAATAACTTAAGTACTATTAGCAACAACATTGTGCAAGTGATAAATATAGTTAAAGGAGACCTCCATTAGTATCCCCACCGAGTTTCTTAAAAAAATTCACTATACTTTGCACGGAATAGCAATTGGTTCCGTAATAGAAATCTCAGCCATCAATTGTCACTTTTACACCATGTTCTGACCGACAACGAAAACACTTTGAAAACGTGTTTTGGGAGTATGGGCTGAAGGCTGTTCACACCAGCTGTTAGTGTTTTCGTTGACATTTCTTACATCCTCTGATTACAGTTTTGCTACACAAAAACAAAACCAAAATGCTTTTCCCTTATTTTCTTTTCATTAGCAACCTCTTACTTTCATTCTTATTTTAATTTTGCCAGCCAATTAACAATAAATCCGAAATGGCGTATTAAATATGATAAAATATGATTTCCACTTCGATAATCGAAAAAAAACTAGTGAAGACACCGATTGGAATGAGTGGAACGTGAGCATTCCCACGACAGCCGGTTCTACGTACCGGAATGACTCGGGTTTTACCCGACCAAGGGCTGTTGTTTCGGCGATCTAACCCCGTTCAGGTCGGCGAAATCCATCAAGCGTTGCTCGATCCTAGGACTACACCATGAACCAAAAATACAAGATCATGTAAGAACGCGACGTTGTATTTGTAATTGGTTTTGAGAAAAAAGTTTGCGAAAGCGGGTTCGTCAGCTGAGCGTTTGTTTACATCACAAGCACCACTATTTTACACTTTTATTCAAGTAAAGAAGAGTTAATTCAACATGACAACACATTTTAAAGCGTTTTGTTACATCATTTTACCTAAATTGCGCGTTTAAAGTGGCTGACAATAATTTTGGCTAATTTTGGTTTTCGTTGTTTTCTTTGCTTTGTTTACTTTTCGCTCGTTTTCCAGTGAAACAAGATGGCGTAGAACCCGCTAAAAAAATCGACTTTTTTCACTCTCTTGTTCTTACGTGATCTTGTGTCTTTCGTTCATGGGGCTACACCTTCTCCGCACCCTTCTGCTAACTGCCTGTCTCCACAGGATAAAGTTTATATCTTGATACATATGTCAGAATATAATTTGCCAATGGAGACCGCTCATTGCTCTTCGAGATCAATATATATCAGAGCTTATATCTTGCCATCTATTGCCGGCAATAAACTGTCAGATTGGTCGTTTGACAGCAGTATTTTCATTTTACCGAAAATCTCTTCGTGGCAACATAACTGAAGTTAAAAAGTTGGTTGGCGCCTTTTTTGCTCTTCGCAGATTTCCTAAACAAAATCACAGCATCAAAAAGAACGAGCTGCATAAATAAGTAAGTATTTATAGTTGAGAATTCATGCAATTCAGCAATAATTTTAATTTTCTTATTGTAGAATATACTTATAATGGATTGGCGTATGGCTGAGGTGTTGAAATTAATAAATGTATATAGGCAATACGAATGCCTTTGGAATTTCCAAAGTTCGTCATATAAACGTCTTGATCAAAAGCAAAATGCGTGGCTACAAATTTCACAAGAATGTGGGAGAGGTATTGATGAAGTGAAAAAGAAAATTAAATATTTACGAACAGCAGACGTTACCGAAAAGAAGAAAATGGACAGTTTAAAAAAATCGGGTTCGTCAGCGGACATGCTCTATGTACCACATTCATTCTATTTCGATGAGATGTCCTTTCTTGACTCGCCAGCCAACTTTGAGCTCGTTCAACTTTTTTTCCTTGCAACCCTGTGTTTGTTTACATTCTGTATCAGTGTTGGGAAATAAAATTGTTCCTTCAGTACGAAATCTATACAAAAAATGTACTTTTCGGCTATAAATTGTATATACTTTTTAATTCGCTCATATATTTTCTTAGTATATTCCCTTCAAGACCAATGATTTTATGGTATTCATGAGAAAGTTTTATTGTTTATGTACATACGTTTACGTATTTTACACTTTTACAAATTGATTCCACGCGCACATATACTGCATTTAACGCAAATATGTATGTACACATTTTCAGGTATACATCTTAACAAAAAGCATATTTAAGTTATTATTAATGGATAAAAGAGACATTTTCCTTTGGATTCAGTACTAAAATTTGACATTTTAATAGCACTTCAAGTGCTTATCAAAACTTTACGACAAGATTTGACCATTTATCTTATTATTATTCAATTTTAATTATTGTTTTTAAATACTGTTTATATTTTAAGAAATGCCGTACAAATCCAAGGTTCAAACTTTGTGCAACATTAAAAAAAACCAACACACTTTCGTAAAAATTTCGAACTTTTTAATTCGATTTCCTAGATTTATTTTGAGTGTGCGGTTTTTTAGCCAACTAAATTTTAATATAATTAAGTTTTTTAAGATTTCTTTGATGAAGGTGTTGCTAATTTTCTGACATCGTCGACAAAAAAAATTGCCAAGTTCAACGGTAAGTCCCAGCTACTTTAAACTTGCACTTAATTATACTAAAATTGAATGGGCTAAAAACTAAAGAATATTAATAAAGCTCGAAATTTTTACGAAAGTATGTTGTCTTTTGGATGTTTCGCAAAGATTTAATCTTGGGTTTATAATTTTCTTAAAGAATACATTATATTTTATAAACAGATAATTATAATTAAAGAATAATAAAATAAATAGTAAAATCTTGTCAATATGTGAGTGCCGTAAAGGTATTATATTTAAGAAAATCTCTTCTTATAACTAACGAAGACTTTGTTTCTATATGAAGCTGACTTCGACATTTTGTTTTAATAAAACTTAGTATCGAAAAATTTCTTTAAAAATTTGCCTAGGCTATATTCTACTGGTTCGTTCAAGCCATTTTTCAAAATTTACAAAGGTAAATACGAACAGGCGAACAAAAGAGAATACAAAAAATTTCTTGCTGTGAATTTTCAGAGCTATATATTTTTAGTATTGATTACAAAATTGTACTAAAAAGTACTGCGTAGTAGGAAAGTATATTGTAAATGAAATTGTATCAAACAAGTACAATTGTACCAAAAATGCCAACACTGTTCTGTATACATACTTTTTCTTCTTTTCTACTTTTTTACCCTTATTTTATCTTTCAGCTTCGCTAAAAGCACTTCTACCAACGCTTGGCTTAGCAAATTTACGCCAATTGATAAAATTTTGCGATTTAAATTCATTTTCAATAATGTAAATAACGATTCGTGTTGAATCGAAAATCACCTCGTCTGAATAGGGATGGCAACTTTTTCACTTTCAACTTCTCATTCAACTACGTATTGTGGCGAATACTGCGGCAACACAAAGCGAACAACGAGAAATAGGCAGAATGTTCGAAGAATGACGTAGAATGTTCCACAAAGAGAAACGTCAAGTTGGATGAACACTGCGAACAGCGAGAGAAAGAGAATGAGCGATAAACTTCAGAATGTTCTAGAGTTGCCATAAGTGCCAGCGCAGGTATATAAGGGCGCCGCCACCACGAGGTGAGTTAGTTGCAAGTCAGCAAGCTACAAGCAAAGTGAGCAGAGAAGTGAGTGGCGAATAAGCAAGCTATAAGTTTAATTGTGTTAACAAGTAG